CTTTATAGTAATTTTTTATTAAATATAATAAAGTAAATATTCTAACAAAATTTTAATAACACTTCATTATAAAATTTAACAACTTTTTATAAAATATATTTTTAATTTTTTATATAAAATTTTTTCAACTACCTTTTTAATAAAAACTTTTTCAAAAAAGTTACCTATAACTAGACATACGGCTAATGATAAACTTGAAATCAAAACATCATAAAAGTGAAAACTATGATTTCTGGTTCTAGTTATCCAATGGGACTTAATTAAATGAAATTTACATTATATATAACTTATAATGTGATTGGCATTGCACATAAGAAGTCTTACTTCTTCATATTATATCAAAATATTACTTGCTATGTTGGTCTGTCGAGTTCATGTACTTTTTATATTGTTCAAAAAATGTAAAAACTAATAAAGAAACTAGTTTAAATAAGGATAAATATAAAATTTAACCGGGATATTTACATGTGAGTTTAATACATTATTTTTTTTTATCAATTTCCTTGTATCTGAAAGTCACATAAAACTCTAACTAATTCAAAATCGAAGTATGTCATACCCCATAAGGGTAAAAGCTCTTTTAATACCTATTTCTTTATTTATAAAATTTTAATTCAATATCTTATTTAAAAAGAATCAAATTTTTTTTACTCAAACTAATAAATCATTGGTTAGTTTTGTACATTATACTTATATAAATTTTCAACTATTTATTTTTTTTACTTTCAATAGTTAAGTTATGTTACGACTTTTTTTGTAAAAAATAATTATTTTTAATAAATATAAATAAATCTAAACCATTAAAAATAAAAAGATAAATAATTAAAATTTTAAATAAATATAATATTTTTTTTGAATAATTTATAATTATTTACAGAGCTAATTGAGGGAGGGGAGAAAGAGTTTTCGTGGGATTGGAATGTGCAACTCACCGAAGGTGAACAACCCTAACTCAGGGTTCAATGTCACTGGATCAGAGCGGACCGTTCATATAAATATAATATATAAAATTTATGAGTAAATAAATTCTTATTTTTAACATTTTAATCATTAGTTATAAATTTCCATGTTCTTACTTTTTAAGCTTGTGCATGTCAAGCAAAATACTATAATAAATAAAATAGTCCAAGAATAATATGTAAAAGGAAAGGTGTACATTCACTTTATCTTTTAAAAATTAAAAAAAAATTATTTATTTTAATAAATTTTTATTAAAAAAATTAAAATATTTTATTTTTAAAAATATAAATTAAATTATTTTTAAATTCTTCTTATAATATTTATTAAAATAACATAATTTTAAAATGTTTTTTTTTAATTTTTTATGAGATAAAACATACAAGCATTAATTTTATATATAATAAATTAAAATTTTTGGTTTTCAACTTATGATATTAATTTACCATAAAATAATTTGTTATATTAATTATAAAAAAGCATTATATAATTCAAATGGCATAAAAAATAAAATTTAAACGATTAAAATAATTAAATTAAAAATAAATTTTTTAATATTAAAAATTATTATTTTATTTAATAATTTTTATTTTATAATATAATATAATTTGAATTACTACGAATTAAGAGGTTCTATTAATTTTTTTTTAACATTGAGAATAACAGTCAAATTTTACGATTCTAAATTTAATCTAAAAAGTTTTTTATAAACACTAAATAACTATTAAACTACAAG